CTGCCACAGCATAAGATATATGCAAGGAGTATGTTGGAGCTAAATCATGTAGGGCCTCAAATACCAAGCCAATGAGTTTGGATTTTATTCTGTAGATGGTGGGGGGCTACTGAAGGCTTTTTACAAATTTTTAACAGAGAAGTGATATGATCAAAGTTACACATTAGGAATATTAATGTGACAAAACAGAATGGAGAAAAACTGGAAGCAAAGAGATCAGTAAGGAAGCTATTATAATAGCTGGTGAAAAGTAGAAGGCCTAATAGCAGTGGGAATTTAGAATAAAAATAATAACTGACATTTCTAGGCCATTTACAATATATAAATTTACATGTTAAAAAGTACTTTAAATACATGATGTCATTTTAACCTCACAACAACCCTGTGAGCTAACTACTACAGATATTTACATCACCATTTTACAGATGATGAAATATATTTGGAGAAGTTAAGTGGATTACCCAAATAAATGCCAGAAGCAGGGCTCATACCTAGGTCTGTTCTGATTTAAAGGAAAGGATTTTCTATTACACTGTCTTATCAAGGTCAACTGAAGCAGACTGAGGTCTAACTCTGGGTAGCCTCTAAGTATATAAGCAAGAGATGGTATAAGGGACTGAGAGTTCTGAGCTCTCAGTACTGTTGGGTTTGGTGTAATGATGGCAATTAGAAGAAAAAATGGAAAAACAAAAACAGGAAATAACCTCTCCCTGTTTTAAAAGAAAAAAAAAATTACAATTATGCCTCTTTCCCCTTCAACAACATCCCCATTCTGACCTCTTTTGAAAGATTTCACTAATACAGCAAAGATCTAGGGAACATCCACAAGTCAACTCCAACTTTCCTTTCCCATTAAATATTCTTACACATTAATATTAAGAAGGAAACTGAAAATTAAGCAAGATACCAGATGAAAGCAAACCTTCTCCAGTTAAACTAAGTCAGTTTTCTTTTCTCCTAAGGAAATGGTTGTTGATGCCACAATGAGTTAAATTACAATAACACATGCCAGGGAAATGATGTCAGTGAGGGCGTGGCTAGACCCTTTACAAGTTTGAAATTCCTTTAGTCCTGAACATTTCCTCTTTCAGGCTCACCTATTCTTAAACCACCAAAAAGGCAGTTCCTTTAAACACTTGTGATGAAATAGCTTTTACATCCTGGAACCCTGGTCTGCTTACCTCAGCCATTCTTTTTGAAGAAGCCATGGATAATTTGAAGGCCATTAAAACGGACCTGGGAAAATGCACCACATTAAATTATTTTGCTAAGTCCCACTTGGAAAAACCTATATATTTTTTTCCTTTGGTCAGGGGCTAATTTAATTCCAAAGAAAGAAAGGCTCAATACAACATATAAAAAGAGGATTTTTTTCTCCTCCACCCTCCCACAAAAAGAAACAAAAAGCTGTCAGAAAAATGAAGGGACTGTATTTGTTTCATTCTAGCATTTAGTATGTTTTAAACATTTGATAAATATTAAACATCACCCAAAAAAGAGACCATAACAACATGGTGGTTATAAGTATGCACATTCCTCTATATAAATTTTCTGATATTTAAAATGCAAATATTTTCCTACTTATACAAATTTGTCTTCCTTTGTATCACCAGGACTTAGCATAGTGCCTGACAGATAGAAAGTGCTTAATAAATACTTGTTGACTTGACCTTTAATTTTAAGTAATACAGAAACACCTTTCCCAATACAAATTTTCCACAAACTCCGCTAAGGTATAAAATAGCAGCCTTCCAAGCAGAGTAGCATTTTTTTTTTTAATTTCCACAATCTAAAGATGACTCATGCAGACAGTAAATTATTTTGTAAAAATTCTGCTTATTTAAGAAAAGCAGAAGATACTTACAATCATTCTGCAAGGGGTTGGAATTTGAAGTTTGCTTTTTTGTTTTAATATTTTAAACATCTTGGAAGGGTCACAGGACCTGTGTAACATGTGGTACTTGAGAGTCAATGAGTTTTTACTGGAACTGACATGTGGGTTACTGACACCACTAAAACTTTGGGTATAAAAATGCACAGATAAAAATGAAACAAACACACCCCTAAACATTCATATACTTCCTAACACACAGACTTGAGTACATTAATTCTCACACATCTATTAATCCCTGCATAAATACAGAAACAAAGTAATGTACATATATCATTTAAGTATAAACGTACTGAAACACTGACAGTCACAGACCTATATACACAAATAAATGTCCATACATACCAACAAAGTGATTCATGTGTGCACAGTAGGTGCACATACTCTTAGATGTCATCATGATGACAGCACATAAAAACCTAAAAGAGTTTTTGACTACTATTAAAAGTTACTGTATTTCCATTCTATAGTTACAACATTTCCATTCTAAACTTTTCTGATCAGTATATTCCTTGAATTTTTACTCAGGCTCTTCAAATTTTAGGGATGCATTTCAGAGTTTAAATCTAGTCTCCTAGGCCAACTTGGAGCTCCGGGAAAGGAACATAGCTACAAATTTCTGAGAAAGGCTAGACAAGGGCAAGGAAATAATTTTAGGTGGATTCAAACATAAAAGCCCCCAAATATGAGCATTAACCTATTTTAAAAATCAATTACAATGGTGATTTTGGTATAACCTGAAACTTGGATAAACCACAAAGGGTACTGTCAATGAGCTCATATGAATTGAAAAAGAAAGGCTCTTGTCAAGACTATCTTTAATCAATCAACATATATTTCTTAATATAACTGCACAATGTTTTATCTCAAAAGGTAAATAGGGTACATCAACTAACCCTAATCTCTACTCAGCAATTCATTCTAGTCTGGAAACCAAGTACCCAGGCACAAATATTTACCCCACCCACTATGGCCCAATCTTGAATGTCAAACCTATAAAAAGAGTCCTTAACTTTCAAAACTCACTTAAATCCTATTTCACCAATCTCTAATTCTCAGTAGGAAGTCCCTTTATAGGCCTGGGAGGGGTCCAAGGCACAAATATCCCTACTCTCTACTAAGGGAGCAAAAGACATCCTAGCACATCCCTCTCTTTGGAGGGCAGTTTCAAAGCCTGACCCAGAGTATATATTGTGTTTCCATTGCAGTATAGAATCCCTTCTAGACAAATTGTGTGCCCTATAGTACCAAGAAACTGCATATAAGGACATCCGCTTGGCATGTAGGCATGCGCATCCATCCCTCCTCTGACTGCCCATGTGCCCAGGCACAGTACCACTGACAGCACAGAGTTAACCACAAGGTTGCCAAGGATCCCTGCTGAGCCTGGCTATCTACTGAGCTCACTGCCCAGGCTTCTGGGACCCAGAGAAGCTAGAAGAGCTCCATGCTTTAACCGGAGATATGTCAGCACTATAAACCTTCCTTATAGGATAAAGTAATTATCTAAGTCTGAAAGACAATGTTGAGATAACACTACAACTGTCCTAATTTTACTGAATATTTTCAGCTATTCAATAAATTAGTAGGTAGGATAAGAAAGCCTGGGGGACAGAACGGGGGGGGGGGGCCGAGGATGAGAGGGGGCAGGGAAGAAATGGTTAAGCAAAAGGAGAGAATAACCTTCCCAGTCAGTGGGGACAGGGCCTGGGATGACAGATCATCTCAACAGGGTGCTGGCACATCAGGAAGTCAAAGTTTCTTCATTCCACAAAGATACAAACTTGCAAGCCTGATTTCTGATTTCAATTTCTCCACCTCCCTCTGACCTTACATACAGGGACGAAAGATCCCTGGAAATCTTAAACCAGATGGCAAGAGGGGACAGTACGCAAGGAAAGGGGCAAGCAGAAATCTCTTTCCCTTTTCGGAGCAAAACGCTAAAGCTAAGGACATTGCCAGATCCCAAAAAAGGAAATAGCTTGGTTCTGGGTGGGGGGAAAGCTTTTCCCTACCTTCTTGTTGCTCTTGTTATAGCCAAAAGTCGTAATCCCAGGCCTGGAAGGCACAGATAGCAGCATTTTGTCTTTAATGTTAGAAAGCAGGAAGGGAGAGAAAAAGGGAGGGAGGGAGAGAGAGGGAGAGAGAGAGAGAGAGAGGAACAGAGGGAGAGAGAGAAGAGGGGAGGGAGGAGGGGGAGGGGGAAG